AGATAACTACTTAGGAGAAAGAACTTCCTATTACTCTTTCATTTACGAAGAGACTTGCTAGATCTAAGTCTCCTTGGTGTTTACTATTAAAGAAGGAACAGAAAAGATCTTATGGGACAGTTAAGGCCTCTATAGAAATAAGGTAATGGTTAGTTGGTGACAAACATCAAAACCCATTATATTTCTTAGAGATAAGCCGGAAACAAGTGCCTATCAGGCGGCCAGCTGGTGACCACCCAAGAATGAAGCCCTGCAGCAAGGTTCTGTAACCTTTTGCCCTTTCAGGCGATCAGCTGGTGACCGCCCAAGAATGAAGCCATGCAGCAAGATTATGTAACCTTTTGCCCTTTCTTATGGAGACTTTTTGCTATAAAAGTTTGTTATCCTCTGCATTAAATCGCTCAGCGCTCAGCACTCAGCATCCACTCCTAATGTGTGTGAGTTGTCTGTTTGCCATCTCCCCATCCTATTCCAGGTTCCTCCCCAAGGTATCCTCCGTCGTCCCGACAGAACCCGGTCTGCGGCACCAAAGTGCTTTCTATAGTCACTTATAACTGGTATATTTACTATGCACTAACAAGATTCATCAGAACGGATCTGAGGTGCTTTTATGTTGGGGAACATGAATCTCCTCTTTTTCTTGCTTCTGATGAGAAAAAAATTCATTTTTTGTTACATATTACTTGTTAAGAATTCTGCACTGACTAACCAAGAAATAGTGGGAGTTCAGAGATAGAGCAATAGCAATAGGACCTCAAGGGCACCGGAAGTGGCAGGGTTCCAGGTAGTGGAGCAACAAAGCCTTTCAACGCCAAGTATCCTGGATACTGTGTCATCAGATATTTATAATAGTAGAAGCTGAGACAGAAAGTTTGAGATTGCTTACCAAAGTTTTCTGTGTCGGAAGGATACAATGTTCAAAGAAATTGGAGTTTCTGTAAAGTCAAGTGGGCTGAGAATGTGGCTTGGTGATAGAGCACTTGCCTAGCATGCATGACGCCCTGGGTTCAATTCTTCTGTACCACATAAGCAGAAAAAGCTGGAAATGGCGCTGTGGCTCAAGTGGTAGAGTGTTAGCCTTGAACAAAAGAAGCTCAGGGACAGTTTCCAGGCCCTGAGTTCAAGACCCAGGACTGACAAAAAAAAAAAAAAGACTAAAGTCAAGAAATGACAGTGGATAATGCTAACCATAGACTCCTAGTCAGTAGAGTAGGGAAAAGAGAGAAGCTTAGAAGAAAAATGGCATAAAGACAGAATATAAAGTTAATACAAAGGTAAGTTTTAATGGACAAAGACAAGGATAAAGAGGAAAAATGAATGAGAATGCTTTGGTAAAAAGACTGAGAGGTATGCATGCCTTGTTCTTCTGGTTTCCTGAGTCCAAGTCCCAGGCCTAATCCAAGTGACACGATCACCAGCAGAGCAAGAAGAACCTATTACAAAACAGGGGGGGAAGTTATAGCTATAATTTCTAATATATATGTATGTATTATATACCAATTTACATATATGCATATTATATACATTATATACATATACTACATATTATATACATAATATATACACACAAAATTACAATAAGCATCCTCATTCAATAATTACTAAATACATCAATTGTAGAAATACCTGTTTATTTAATGTTTGAAAATAAGAAATTTGAGGAAGAACTTTAAAATCCCATTTATTTCAGATCTCAAAGTTCCAGTGGTTTCAAATTTTAATTAAAATGAGATTTATCTAAATGTAAGTGAAAGTAGGAATTAAAACCTAGAGATATATTTGTCTTTGTCCAGTTTTTTTTTTAAAGAACCAGGTGCTTCATCAGAGATCATTAACAGATAGGCATCTGGCATTCAATAGAACACTGAGATCCTTAATTCCTTAGAATATCTATGAAATCCTGATTTCTTACAAGCAGAAACATTTGTTCTGTTTTGTTTTCTACTCTGTCCATCAGAAGATGAGCGCATTTAACTTATGTCAACATAAAATGTATTGCTAATTAAGCAATCAGTCTGTTCTAATCTTTGATTCATGAAAATGATTTTAATAATTTGGGAGCTTCTTGATTAAAGATTCTATCACTTCTGATCACTACTGCTGACAAAGCTCTTCAGTGCAGGGAATGTTATGCTGTGATCAGTTTAAACCCTGATATAATTCATGATGTCCAGTGATAAGTATGTTGGGTGATGACTCTGGATGACTATACAATGCATAAAGAATGACAACAGACACACCATCAAAGTATTTAAGAATGTGTTTTACAATAACCTTGATAGAAGGTTAAAGCACAAACAATAAACTGGACAGAAGAAAACAAAACCACCACATGAAATTGCTTAAGAACTACATTAGCTATTGATTTGGAGGAGGTTGTGTTCATTTTGAAAATCAGTTGGGAAATTAACACACCTAACTTTTGCCATAGAAGTGAATGGAGTAACTGAGAAATCACATTAAAATACTATGAAAACCTTTCACATGAGGTCTCAAACCCAAGGGCCAAGTGGCCTTCCAATATATCCTCACTCAATGGAGAGGATGAGGAGGGAAAGTAAACACAAACAGTTCCTAAATATCACCACTAGCAGGCAGCCCTTTGTCAAGATGATATTGGAGTGGCTCCCAAGCAAGCCAATACTGGCAAACTCCTTATGGTAAACCTCGCGTATCGTAGCTTTACAAATTCATACATTCTGGGTTGCATTTAACCCCTTAGGAAGCTTTTGAACTTTGTAATGTTAAGTTTTAAATTTCTTCATGGTTTTGTACTTATTTCATGTATTCGTGGCTTTCTTTATTATTCTGTAAGTTCTTTGAGAGTAGAAGGCTATATATTCTCCTATACTCATGTAATTTAAATAGGTAATTCCCCCAAGGTTGGGGTGTGCATGTATTTTAAACTATGCTGAGCACAGTACAGAGAGAATTTTCTGAACTCCAAAATGCACTGAGAATCCAACATGCAGCTTTAACTTGACTAAATAAACAGGGCCAGGAACACAACAGAAACCCTTCACTTTTTAAAATACATTTTTGTCATTATTGGAAGCATTAGGGCACCTCTGAAATCATGATTTAAAAATACTGAACTTAATTGTATGTACTAAAAAACACCAAAAAGAAACAAAAAAAGTACTGTGTAAGTTTTGCTCCCAAAGGATTGTATAATTTCTCAAACTGTTAAGATAGGATACATATAACAGCACAAAAGCTTACTCTAAAATCCAAGACAATAAAGAGTAAGCAGAATGCACAGCCCTGGTGTTTACTTTGTAATGGTTCCTGGGCTCGAGCCAGACACATATTGTTTCACTCATTCCCTGTAACAGTGCTGGAGAGACGGAGACTAAAGTGGTGACATTTTCTCCACTGGGAAATTTAGAAGATAGCTTCAGCAAAATATGCGTGAAGAAAGAAAAATAATGCAACTGGTTTAAAATGGAGGGACAGGCACTTAGTAAAAATGTCAGCTTACCTACAAGTCTTAAAACCACAAGGGAACATGAGATTATATTAAAAGAAATTGTCAGAGCTGAGGGAAATGTTTACAAGTAACCTGATATGAGCAAAAAGGTAAATCTGCCCAAAATGCAGATAAATGGAAAGTCATAAAAATGAGCATTTCTCTGTTATTGTGGAAGCAAGGGTAGAGAATAGTTTAAAGGGAGAAACTATTCAACAACATCCATGTATTGTTATTACATGTACTCTAGGAAAGAAGGAGGGAGAAAAAGGATTAAATATTGAAGTGAGTCTTCAACAGTTAGGTGGTGAAAACTAAAGCACTGTGTGTAGCCCTCTTCTCCTTTCCCAAAAATTTGATAGTGAAGGGAAAAGAGAGGATAATAAAATCAAGAGAGGTGGGTTTTTTTCCACATTGATTTTTAGGACAGGGACAATCTGAGCACATAAAATGTTAAGAATGAGAATATAGGTAACTGAGACCATCTCTAGTATCAATAGGTTCACAAAAAAATAGAAGATATAGTTATTTTAATTTTTAACCCTCCAGTATTACAATAGTTACGTTGTGAAAAAAAAGTTATTTGGAATATAATCACAACCATGTGGGAAAAGTTAATTAGTACTGCAAAGTTTTTTGTCTCAGACTCCAGACTTTTCAATCAAATATTAATCCAGTGTTATTCAAATTTCTAACTTGTTCAACATGATTTAATACATCCACTTGTATTAGAGGTGTCATAAGGGATAAAGCTGAGTGTAATTACTCAAATTTTGACATTTACATAGCCATTCAAACAAATAAAAGTGAAGATTCCCATGCCTTCAACATTTGTCATACACTAAGAGCACTAAAATGAAGAACCATACATACTGTCTCAAAAAAAAAAAAGGATTGTACTTACAATACAAATGATTTTATATCTCTTGAGAACATCCTTCTTAACAGGTTCTTCTGTTGCTAAAGTTAGCATAGAATCCATTGTTCCCAGTATGGCAGAAACCTGTTTAGCCAGAAGACAGCAATGATCCTTCTTTCCTCTAGTCAGGAAAAGAAACAGTACGAAGTTCCACAGCTGTGCCTGACTTAAATGCTTACAAAGAGCTGTGTGGTGATTGGGCAATCTAGAGAGGAGAAAATTATGCTAGTAACGGTAATGCCAAAAGATTAAAGTACACTCCTAGTCCACTGTAGATAGTTGTGGTTTTGCTTATTGTAATTTAGGATTTATCTCTAAATTATATTATATATAAAATGATAAACAATATTAATTTATTATAAATAATAAACAATATAAAAATAATATTACATCTAAAGAAAATGTAATAATCAAATTGTAGCATAATCTGATAATTGGTGCTCTTTAAAACATAACTCAAAATGCAAAGCCTCATTACAGGGAGTTTCTACATTTATATAGATTATGGCACAGTTGAAAACATGAAAATATGATTTGACAGTAGCAGGAACTGTGAAATTGTGCTAAGACAGTGTACAGAGTTTAAAACTGTCATAATTCTGCCTTGTATTTTACAGGGTTCATCATTTTAGAAAGTTTTTTTTTTGGGGGGGGTCCGGTCATGGAGCCTGAACTCTGGGCCTGGGCACTGTCCCTCGGCTCTTCAGCTCAAGGCTAGCGCTCTACCACTTGAGCCAAAGTGCCACCTCCGGCTTTTTTTCTTTTTGCTTATGTGGTGCTGAGGAATCAAACCTAGGGCCTCATGCATGCAAGGCAAGCATTCTACCACTGAGCCACCTTCCCAGCCCCTTTAGAAAGGTTTTTATATACATTATCACATGTCAAAATTATGCCTAGAGATTTTTTGTTCACTAGTAGAATATTTGTCTACTGTATATGAGACTGAGTTCAATCTCCAGTACCTTTAAAAAATCTCTTATAATACAGTATGTTGCTGTATCTGTCTCTTTGCCTCCCCTTTCCTATCCTTTTTCCTCTTTTCCATTTTCCTCTCCTTTTTCTCCTTCTACTTCCTGTCTTCTCCCTCTCTTTTCCTCTTCACCATTCTCCTTCTCCTTTTCCCTCTGACACTGGAGTTAAAGTCTAAAGTCTTGCATATGCTAGACAAATGCTCTACCCCAGTTCATTCCTATCTCAGAAGTAAATAAATTAAAGCTTTGATCGTCTGAAATAGGTGGCTTGTTTGCCTATATATTCACTAGACACTAGAACAATAATTGTAACTAAGTCTTCTAACTCCTGAAATGCAAGACAGTTTTTACTAATCAGCTAGAATTTACTATTTTATTATTTACAAAGACCAGGACAGTTTAATATACGTACTCTGAGATGAGATGAGGTTTCCAAGTTTATGAGGAAATAAAGAACTAAATTAACAGCAGTGTGGCCAAAAAGTTATGGTAAATACTGAGCACTAAGCTCTTCTACTTTCAATGGCCCTGAATAAACAATTCTCAAAGTGTGGTATTATAGAGCATTATTCCCAGGATAACCACCTTGGTCAAATAAACCTTGATAACTCTTCTCTAAAGATTGTTAGAATCCTATAGGCTGTGTGGTACACCCTTGGAAAACACTACTCTAAATTTTTGCAATGTTAAAATCAATTTTTAAAATATGGAAGAATCTATCTTACTGTGTGATAATTCGAAAATGTTAGGAATGTTTCTGAAAATCATATCAAAATGCCATTTTCTACCATTGAAGTCACTCTGTTTAGAGAAAAAAAGCAAAACTATAACAGAGAGCCAACTTTCCTTTCTTGATTTGTACAGTTTGGCCCATCAAGCCCTTAGTCCTGCATATTCTACTTTCCCGGTTCCACTCACCAGCCTCCTCCGAAGCAGCACTGGTAAGAATGGCTGAAACAAGATTGCACAGAGATGATCCAATCCAAGGTCTTACACACTATTTTTCAGTAACACAAAAAGGATTATTAGGTCTTTAAAACCTTGACACAAAATGAAAATGTTTGAGTATCTTTAAGGATGAGGTTCTCAATCCTGGATCAATTTAGAAGCACCCAGAAATATTTGGGGAGGGGTTTGTTTGGTTGTTTTGTTTTTGTTTTGCTTTGATTTACTTTTTTTCTTAAATTCTGAAAGCCATTTTCTATTTTGGTTGGGTTAGATCATCTTTTAAATATTCTTTCAATTGGTTTTACATCTGGTCAAGATCAGTTTCAATAGTTTGAGGTGTGCATACATTTTCAAATTCCCTTTAGTAAATATCCACTCTAGCTAGCCATACTTGCCCATTTTACAGATTTTACAGATAAGATTGGCCAAAGGGCCTTGGTCACTTGTGTAAGATATTTTGGTTACTGATGCCACAGAACCCGGAGACAACTTCAGAGAACATAATATTCTACAGAATTTATATAAAGAAGATTAAGCCTAGATAAAACATTTCCTCATAATTAGTGGCTTCCTAAGAGTTATGCTTTTATCTAGACATTTGCCATAGGCCTTCAAGTTTTTCTGGTTTCTCGGTTTTGATTGCTTATTTGCAATGAGCTTCTACTTTTATCTTCTCAGGGATGGATAGTTTTATGTCAACTTGGTAAGACTTCTGTATTCAACTATTAAATCAAACACCCGTCTAAGATGCTGCATTGATATTTTGTAAATATGATAAAAATAAAATAATTTGACTTTAAAAGGATTGTTTTCAATAATTGTGAGTGTCCTTCATCTAACCAATTCAAAGCCTTAAAAGTCAAAAGGAATTTATGAGATAGGAAATTCAAACTAAAGACAGCAGCATTAGCCTGAGTTGCCTGCTCTCCAGTTCACTCTGACTTGTGGATTTGGGACATATCAGATTCCACAATCAGGTGAAGAAATTGCTTGTCAGCAATACTCATTACCCAGTTCCATTCTGTTTCTCTGGAGAACTCACTGATATAACTTTTGAGCATTATTATATATTGTTCTTTGTTTTCAAAACATTTCTGAACTCTCCTCTTCTTGTAACACACAGATTTGTGCTCTTGGTTTCTGACTTAATTTTGTGTGTGGTGCCAGCCCAAGAGCTTAAACTCAGGGCCTGGGACTATTCCTGAGCTCCACTGCTAGAATTATACCTCCACTTCTGGCTTTTTGGTGGTTAATTGGAGATCAGAGACCCAGTAACTTTCCTGCCCCAGCTGGTTTCAAACCACAGTTGTCAGATCTCAGCCTCCTGAGTAGCTCAAATTACAGGCCAGCAGCACCCAGCAATTTTTAATTCTTGATCTTGACATTCTTCTATAATAATTCATATACAAGAATTTGGATGTTTTAGCTCATCTGGTTGTATTTTGTCACCCACAAAGGTAAACTTTGATTCTGAACCAGGTCTGTCTACAGGAATACTACCAGCTCTGGTCCTATATTTTCATTATGTGTTTAATTACATACTCTACCACTGGAACTCTTCTTTCTCTTCCACGTTCATCACTGAGGCAGTAAACCTTTAATGAGGAAAGGTTAACTAGATCTCAGAAGTTTCCATTAGAGTCCCATTTTTGTTTTGGATCTGTGACAAGGCAGAGTACCATAGGGAAGCTGCTCATTTCATGGCACATAGGAAACATAGAGGAGAAGCCTCCATCCTTTTTATGCCTGAGAATATTTTTAAAAAGCAAGACAGTGAAGTCAAGATGCTTCTGATAAAGTCTTTGTTCTACCATTAACAAGGTAGTTAACTCTGGATATTAAGTCCCCCCCCCCATCTCTTGTCCTTTGTGGGGCTTGAACTCAGGGCCAAAGTACTGCTGTCGCTGAGGTTTTTTTGCTCAAGGCTAGTGCTCTACCACTTTGAGCCACAGCTCCACTTCCAGGTTTCTGGAGGTTAATTGGAGATAAGAGTCTCATAGACTTGCCTGCCCAGGCTGGCTTTGAACCGCTATCTTCAGATCTCAGCCTCCTGAGTAGTTAGGGTCTACAGGCATCAGTCACCAGCACCTGGCTAAATTCTTCCTTTTCAAAGTAATTCCAGACTACTTCTAAGTTAGAATAGAAATGTGTTTTAGTACTTCTGGCCCTGGGGCCTTTGTAAGTACAGGTGGGTACAGTAAGGATACTGCTATCATCTAGCATCACTTCACATTTTCTGCTTCAGAAATTTCCTTGACTGAATCTGACAACCTAACCAATTTTGAGTCTCTTGAGATCTAGAAACGTGTTCCTAACTGTTCACTTGAGTATCGGATACTGCATAAACCCATACTCTCCAGGGAACTTAGACTCCTGAATGCAGTGTCTATAACTTGAAACTCTATCTGAATCTTCAGGTTACAAGTTACTTGGACCTCAAAAGCCCTCCTTTTCTTGGCCCCTCCAACTTTGGAACAATTTGCACCTTCTGGGTTCTGAAAGCTTCACTTTAATGATCTCAAATGCGTGTGCTCTGAGAAGCTGCCACCACCACATTCCTCACTAACCATTTTTACTTTCTAAGAAGTCTCAGTGTCCACAGAATTTGGGGAGTGTCTCTAAAATCATTTTAGAAATCGCAATTTTGCTATCTCAAGAAAGCCTTAAACATCTCCTTACTCCATTGAGTCTCAGAAGTCTTTTCTTCCTCTTTCTAGAACTAGCACTGTCACTGGACATAGGTGAGGGTTTGTGAACCTTCTCTTTAAAAGTAGGGACTCTTCACTTAGGGTCCTTGATTTCAGTTGCAGAATAATAATTTCTGGATAAGTCACGATGGTAAGAAAAGTTGGCAGAGCTTTATTAAGTAAGTAAGCAAGCAAATAAGCAGATAAACAGATAGGTAGAAAGGAAGGGGCCCACTGTAGTAGAGTATGGGTGCTCCCAAGGGGAGATACAAACACACACACACACACACACACACACACACACGTGCATGTGCGCACAGCTCCTTGGCTGTTAGGGTTATTTATATGATAAAGGAAAGGGGTCTGACTTCAAAGTTATACAAAGGTAAGTGTTTTGTCTTTGCTCCAGTCATTCCTTTATTATTCCAGTTATTCCAGTATTACTTTCTAAGTTTCTGGATAGTTTGGGCATTCTTTCCAGGTAAGAACGCCATAAACCAGA